TTGTGAAAACCAAAAGAAATTGCCTTATGTAACAGGTTTCAAGATAAAAAGGTTTCTGTGTATTTGAACAGATCAGAATATACTTTCAGGTCATAAATTATTGTAAAATATGTCTGTATGATATTTGGTGGTCCCTGTATTGTTGACTTCTTAACCATTAGAGTTCTGGTAAATTCATATACAATCATGTATTTGTCATTTCACTTTAACAGATTCAGCAGTGAAAAACTTTAGATTCTACAAATTCAGCAATAGTTTAGATCCAGTGAAAAACTTTAGATTCAATGTCTTTGCATATAAAGGCATCACTAAAATTAATTTTTATTTATGCCATAGATGCAGAGCATGCAGTACATTGTACTTTTCCTTTAATGCATATGTTATGTTTGATTGAATCTTTTATTCCTGTCAAAGTAATAAATGCATCCTACAGACCTAATGTATTTTCTTCTTTATTGTAATTTTAATTTGAAAAAGACTTCGCATGCAATTCCTTGTAGATCTGCAATTCCAATGGATGTTTTAAAAGGAAAGTTTGAGACTTTTTTTTTTTTTAAATGCGTACTAGACCAGCATTTTGTAGATATATTAGTTTGGACATTAAAAAAAAAAAAAAAAAAAAAAAAAAAAAAAAAAAAAAAAAAAAAAAAAAAAAAAAAAAAAAAAAAAAAAAAAAAAAAAAAAAAAAAAAAAAAAAAAAAAAAGAATTTCCCCTGCTAATTTTAAATTTCTCTTATTGTAATTTAATTTAAACTTTCAATTTTGAGCAAAGGTTTTTGTCGGCTGCTAAAATCTGCTGATTCAGCTATATTTAGAAGATCCTGTCTTGAGGTATGATAATAAAACATGGGTTTCGATTCCAATGTTGTTCAAACTTATACAATTGATTCTAATTTTGCATATTTGCTTTGATTTGTAGAAATGATTGATTTATAACCAGTCCAAACAAATTTTCAAAAAGTTTCATCAGAGTAATAGAGAAGACTGAATGAAAGATTTCCTTTCCAGAGAATGAATTATATTGATAAATGTTTAGTTCCCTTGTTTTCTCGCAAACAATGTCTTTCATAAGAAATCTTATGGGAATTAGATTCTCTTCCAGTAAACATATTTGCTTATATTACTAGGCCCAGTCTTTCATACATATAAGCTGAACTGCCTGCTTTATGTGTTGGCTGTGATTCATTATTGGAAACGAAATCTATTTTATTGGTGAATGATTGAATTTGCGAGAATGGGAATTCGGCAATATCTTACTATCTAAGAAAATAATCATTCTAACATGAAGACCCTTGTTGTCAAGAAGGTATATATATAATTCTGTTAGCTTACTAGGGCAAGGCTTTACTTAACAATTTGTATCTAGATTATTATTATTGCCTTTTATTATTCCGGTCACATTGCTCTGTATAAAAAATTGGGTAGTGGTATAATTGTGTAAAACCAGGAAATATATAGGAATTGATGTTTTTCTTGTAGCTTTTGTCTCTTGTGGTTTGTGAAAAAAGCGGATGGGGAAATATTTTTGTTATCGTTATTTAAATACTTAGGGAAATACTTAGCGATGACATAATTGCTCATTATTTGATATGAAATTAATCATGCTCTGTTGACCATATGGCTGGGCCTTTGATATTTAATATTTAACTGCTGTATATAGCTATTTTTGTTTATGTTAGAGATAAAAATGTATGTTTAGTGTCCATAAAAAAAGCAATAACCAATTATGATGTCAATGAAATAATAGTCCTGATGTTGTTATGGAGAATCTGAAGGGAATTTTGATAAAATAATCATCAAGTGAAAGCAAAAACAAAGTATTATCTGTAAATACAGACCATTTTTAATTGATTCATCATAAATGCAACGTTTCTGGTTTTATAATTTAAACATAAACGCTTTGACAATGTGGCACCACAATTATTTTATAATCCAAAAGCACGCTTGTCCATAATCAAATGAAATTTAGAAAAACCTAACAGTTTTCATTAAGAGTGGAACGTTTTTAATGGAGTTATTGCCCTTTTCATGCAGGTTGGTGTGCATGCAGGCATCAGTTGGGAATTGGTTATAGCTTAATGACAGCCCTTTTTCATGGGCATGGATATAACTTGATGACATTTTGTTTTTGATTTTGCTAATGCAGAAGCTGATTTGATTAAAGTAAAAAAACACAAACTCATCAAATAGCAATGATCTGAATACTTGATTAAGGTTTTCATCTCATTTGATTAATGCCTTCAAATGTTGCATTATATCCCTTCTAAATATTGGTTTCATATTATGGTGTTATCATTTCCTTTCTACAAGATGTAATTTGTTGGGGCCTTGGTTTGATGAGTTTTTTGTCTGTCTGTCTGTTTGTCTGCTGCAAGCAGTTTCATGAAACTAAATGTCTATTGTACTGATCTCAAATTCCATAATGTTTTTGGGAGTATTTTATGGAATATATACAAAAAAGAAAAAAAAATATAAAGAAATTTACAAAAATGCCATGGCAACCTTCAGGAATATATATTCTTATGCCATTTCTTATAAAAGAGAATCCATGACAACAGAATGAATAAATTCTCCTGCAGTTTAGTTTGTTATTGGTTATAGTGACTTAAAGCTACAAAATTTTACAACCATCGATTTAAAGAAATGAAACGTGATTGTAAAACAAGAACCGATATGATTTCAAATAATATTCATTTTCCCAAGAGAGTTCTGGTTTCCTTTAGATCTAAGCATATAGTATAGTGTACTTAACTTCAATTCCCAGATGAAATTTTATTTTGTTTGAATTAAATACATAGGCGTTTCTGTTGATTTAATTTAGCCAAAATGAAATGAACATGATAATTTCAGCATACATTGATATACAAATTAATCGTACGTTACTTAAAGTGTGTATTTAGGCTATATATCATTGTTTGAATTTTAAAAAAGAATACTTCCAAAAATTCTAGTATGAAATAGATGTACCACTGTATATTGCCTTAAAAGCCAGTGCATTCATGTGTGTTAAATAACAGAGACATTCTAATTGTTACAACTGTTTTAGGAAACAACCATAAGATTAATGGAAACAATATGATTTTACTGTTGATAAATTTTATAAAAATATTTCATATGATACAGCTTTATGCCCTTTAAAATTTCTTTTATATTTTAATTGTTCAGACCTCATGTTATTCAGAGATATATAAATTGTATTTCAAAAGATTAGAAACTCTTTGTCTGTGTCAGTCTAACTTCCCAATCATTAAATATCTCTACAAAGTCTATCCAACTTCTTAATAATTTCCCCCCAGAAAGATATTCTTCTTTTGGGTTAAAATTGCTTTTGTTGATCAGAATAGTGTGCAGTTAATATTGTTGTATTTGGATTGAAATGTATTCAGTTAGAAAGATGAAGTGAGAAGTGATTAATCATTGTGGCTAATCTAAACTGTGACATTACCTTCTCCCTTTCTAGTGCTAGATGTGAAACTGTTAATGAGGTGAAAACAGTTAGATATTATGATCATGATGTTTCATTTTGTTAGGCTGTAAACTGTCTTTTTTTTACTTTCTTTTCTTCTTTCTTTGAAGAACATTTAACAGAACTACATAAAAGAATTAACTAAATTAACCAAAACAAACATTAAAATTACACTTCAAGCATTGTCATTAGTGATTTTATAGAACAAAAGCTAGAAAAGAATGTATGGGAAAAAGCCCACAAGATTGTCTTACTTATTGTTATAATGGTGGAATTTGTATGATATATATACACCTAGAAGTACCTGACAAACTTTTACCTTGTCATACTGAAGTGCCAGAATATATCTGATGGTTTTGATAAAGTCTTTACCTGTGTTCTTTGATGATGTTGGTGTGTATAAAGTTTTGTTTTGGCAAGGCTTTTACTGCAAAACAAGAAAACAACATAATGTGATGTTTTGTTGTATTGAAATGAAATACTTGTGATTGATTGTTCTATGTTTGTATAAAAATGTTAATCTTAGATGATGTATCACAATTAAGACAATTAAAGTTAATTATATTATACAATTTACTGCTGTAATTATCTAATTGATTTATTAGAATCTGCCAAATCCATGAAAGTATATTTGCTAAATCCATGAAAATGTAGGGCTGCCAAATCCATAAAAGTATGACTGTAAATTCCATGAAAATAAAATAATGGCTGGGGGATCCTTAAAAGTAGTCTATGAAATTTTATGTGGCTGCCAAAATCCTTGAAAACTGTGAGTTGGCACCTGGCTTGTTTTTTTTTCTAAAGCTGGTGCCATTTATAGGCTGCTTCCCATCATGAAAATATGCTTTAAATCTAACAAACAGCCTAAGTATATCTTTGTTATTAAAATGTGTTTCAAACGAGGGTTTTCAGTAATTATTAAAAGTTCTCAAAATTAATTTATAAAAAAACAACAAGAATTAATGTAATGGAAATAAAAGGGCATTCAGTATTCAGTCTTTGAAGTTGTTGATTTCCTATAATATTCATTCAGAATACTTAATGATTAATCAATCATCCAAGATGTTTTTTGTAAATTGATACCAATCACTACATTTAACTCATTGGTACGTATGATTTGATGTCTGATGCATTAGGCAGAAAATGAAATTGTTTCTAACTGATGGATCATCTTAACTGACATAATGTTAAAAAGTACCTGGCTGATTTGTTCTGTAATGGACAGGTCTTGCTGTTTGTGATTTTTTTCCCAAAAATTACTTAGGAAAGGCTCAAATTGACAGCAGTTGGTGATGACTAGGAGTCAGGTGTGACTCCAGGTAGAGCCAGGTTTGACTCAAGGTAGAGTCAGGTGTGACACCTGGGGTATAGGTCAACTAATTGTTTTCCATAATTTTGATGACATTATGCTTACAGTTTTTGCTCTGAAAGAAAACTAGATCATAATTTAATGATTGATAGAATATGTTATAGATTTATAATATGATAAGTGGTATTAGCAGCAACAAATCTGATGTTGTTTTATTGATTGTATTTACAGAGTGTTGTTGACAAGTTATTGAAGAAGGCAAATGTTTCCCTGGTTGTTGGTACGTCATCATGGAGAGAACAGTTCATAGAGGCCATCACTGTTAGTCCAGGTAGGTATTTTGGTCATGTGACTGAAAGTAACAAAATCAAACCTTTTTTACTCACTCATCATCAACATTTTTTTAGCCGCTGCTTTTGTGCATATGCCTTGTGATTTTTTTTCTAAAAAATCAAGTTATATTGCTGTTTGCATTGATTTTTTTTGGACACAGATTGACACTGAATGGTGATTTTATCCTCATATGAACAGTATTTCTAATTCTTTGAAAATAGAATTAAAGTGTAAAATATTAAAACAAATAAACATATACAATATAATTATGTTTATATATATACATGTGTTATATATCAAATATATTACCCCAAAGCCTTAAGGTTAAAAATGTCTTCGTCAAATGTAGTGACTGATTATGAATAAGTTGAACCCTTATCCTGCTGAAACCAGAAATTATAAGCCTTTGCCACCAGTGAAGAGCCAGGCCAGCCTGCACATCTGTGTAGTCTGACCACTCATGGCTCTGTTCTACTGGTATCTCAACTTTTGTATTTTGTTAATGAAATCCCTTAAACTTAGAATGGATTGTTCCAAATTCTAAGCTGGACAAGTCCATTACATAAATTCAGCAGATTAAGGGTTTTAAAAAAAACTGTTTAGAAAACAACATGGTTAGAGAAAACAAAACTGTTTAGAAAATGCAATGTTAGAGAAAACAAAACTTTTTAGAAAACAACAGTGTAAAAGCAAAACAAAACTGTTTAGAAAACATTGTTAGAGAAAACAAAATTGTTTAGAAAACAATATTGTTACAGAAAACAAAACTGTTTAGAAAACAACATTGTTACAGAAAACAAAACTGTTTAGAAAATGCAATGTTAGAGAAAACAAATTGTAAGAGAAAACAAAACTGTTCAGAGGATAAGCATGTCATTATGTGTTGATTGTGTATTTGATTTGGCATAAATACCAAAGTTTTGTGAATGTATTTGCTTTCAAAAGACAATCGTAGTTGTCTTGACCAGTAAGCTGTTTTTTTAAGCTATTCCTGATGGTCATTTTATACATCTTTAGTGCTGCAGCCATGATAATATCATATTATTTAATAAAATAAAAGTATTTATAGTCCTGATATGCTAATTTATAAAGTGTTTTAATTGCATGGATTATTTGCATTAAAAATGTATTTTTAAATATAGTACAACAGTTTAAAAACAGGTGACTTTATGTTCCCAAAATTTTTATGCCCCCACAATGTGGGAGCATATAGCGTTGCACTTGTCCGTCCGTCCGTCAATCCGTCAGTCAGTCAGTCCGAGCATACGAGAGCTACATTATGAGGTTTAGGTTTATGTACAGGCACTCTGTATGGGGTTCATTCCGTAGAGACATGTATTATGGGGTTAAAAATGCTCTTATGGGGTTAAAAAATTTGCTCTTGTGGGGTTAAGAGATCAAAGGAATAACCCCACAAACACGTCCTGTGAGAACGTCCGTCCGTCTGTCCGTACGTCCCGAAATCTTGTGAACGCAGCTCCTCTTAAACCGAATAGCAGATTTTGCTTAAACTTACAGGGATGATCAACCTTAATGTGTAGATGGTAGTAAAGGAAGGAATTTTCGCTGCGACCCAATTTAATAGAATTATGGCCCTTTGTTGATTTTTTCACTAGATACTATGTAGAAATTTTGTGAACGCATCTCCTCTTAAACCGGATGGCAGATTTTGCTTAAACTTACAGGGATGAACAACCTTAAAGTGTAGATGGTAGTAAAGGAAGGAATTTTTGCTGCGACCAAATTTAACAGAATTATGGCCCTTTGTTGATTTTTTCACTATATACTATGTGGAAATTTTGTGAATGCAACTCCTCTTAAACCGGATGGCAGATTTTGCTTAAACTTCCAGGGATAAACAACCTTAATGTGTAGATGGCAGTAAAGGAAGGAATTTTTGCTGCAACCAAATTTAACAGAATTATGGCCCTTTGTTGATTTTTAGATTTCAACTTGTGGCACATGTAGTCCAAAAAATATTTGACCTAGAGTCTTAAGATTGACAGAACAGTGGTGTGTGGGGGCATCCGTGTCCTATGGACACATTTCTAGTTCATGAATGATTTTAACTACAAAGTTTTAACTTGATGTTAAAGTTGCATTGAGCTCACTGTTTTTGATGGGGAAAAACAATTTCTTTCATCAAGAACATATCTATTGTAAAATCTTGCACACATTTTGCCTTGCATTGAGCACAGTCATGCAACTTTTTTGGCATTTCATTGTCATAACAACTGAAAAAAAATGTAAACCTGGAAATTTTGTCTATATATATATGTTCATATCCATATTTACTCTTACCCTGCTGGAACCGAAATTGCTTTGCCACCAGTATCAAGCCCTAGGCTTACTTTTGCCACCAGTATCAAGCCCTAGGCTAACTTTTGCCACCAGTATCAAGCCATTGGCTAAGTTTTGCCACCAGTATCAAGCCATTGGCTAACTTTTGCCACCAGTATCAAGTCATTGGCTAACTTTTGCCACCAGTATCAAGCCATTGGTTAAATTTTGCCACTAGTATCGAGTCATTGGTTAACTTTTGCCTCCAGTATAGAGCCTTTGGCCAACTTTTGCCACCAGTATTGAGCCATTGGCTAACTTTTGCCACCATTATAGAGCCATTGGCCAACTTTTGCCTCCAGTATAGAGCCTTTGGCCAACTTTTGCCACCAGTATCGACCCATTGGCCAGATTTTGCCCCCAGTATTGAGCCATTGGCAAAATTTTGCCACCAGTATAGAGCCATTGGCAAAATTTTGCCACCAGTATAGAGCCTTTAGCTAACTTTTGCCACCAGTATAGAGCCAATGGTCAACTTTTGTCACCAGTATAGAGCCATTGGTTAACTTTTGCCGCCATTATAGAACCATTGGCTAACTTTTGCCTCCAGTACAGAGCCAATGGTCAACTAGTTGCAATTATCTGTGCTGTCTGACCAGGCTCTACACTGTTGGTAGCTCAATATTTGTTGTTTGTTTTTAAAATCCCAAATTCAAAGCAGGGCAAAACTATTACAAAAATTCAGCAGGTTAAGGGTTAATAAAAGTCAATGTTTTAGTCTGCAAGTTAAAGGTTGTGTATGAAGACACCAACTTAATATTGTTTGTTGGTAAACCTGCACACTGTGTCAAGACACAAACACGTTTTACGACATTAATTGCCAAAGACAAAACTGTTTGTGACATTTTTTTAGATTTACAGACTGTGTAAGATATTTGAGATATATATGCATATATGCATATAGATTTGTCATGTAATATACAAAGAAGTAGAAAAACTTGAAGGTTAAAAAGAGTATTTTTATTGTCAAAGACAATTTTAGGGTTGTTCTGTGTACATCATACAATATTCTGTAATATTAAATAAGCTATATATGGCCAACTTAGTAAAAGTAAATAATGAAAATGTATATTCTGTTTCATTGAAAGGAAGGGATTGGTACTCTCTACCAAATTTACAATGAAATTTTCATTTGGTTAATAGAGTTTATAATGGCGATTGTTTTTTGTTTGTTTGATTTTGTTATCTATTTATAAGAACTCTCTAGTAATTAAGAAAATGCAGCCATGTGTTAAATAGTATAATTGTTGCATAATGACAAAAGTCAGTGAATGTTTTAATATTGAAAGTAATGCCTATATAATTAATATTATAGGAAATGTTTAAGGGTACATAATTTTATAATATTGGCCTATAAAATGGCTGCAAACTAGTTGAAAGTTCAATAGAATACTGTATACTTGATTGTAAACAGAACAACCTTAAAATGATTCTCTATCTAATTAAGCCTTGAATGTCCTTATATAAAGCTTGAATAATGAGAAGTTGATAGGAGGAGAAAAAAGAAATGCGGGTAATTTATCTAACATAAGATTGTCATGATTGTACCGTCATCATTTTGTAATACCTTCGTAATAACCATAAAAAGCAATTAGGGATTTTCATGTCAATAAAGTATCGGATATATAAGAAGTGAATGTAATGAAGCGAATGTTTATATTAACATTCTAATCGAAAGTCAACAACCTGTTTTTTTTTAACCATGGCTTTTGCTGTCGTATACCCCAGTCATGTGACATCATGTATTTGTTTTTTTTCTTTCATTTTGCTAAGAGCCAGATGGAGGTTTGTGTAAAATTAGAAAAATGTATTGTACATGCTTACACCATCATATTTAGTTGCAGATTTATTCAGTTTTGATAGAGTTTTAGTTACATAGCTTTGTTTCCTTGATATATTATATAATGTAGATGTTATGTCAATATATATATAACCATGTGTGTATGTTTTAGAGTATATTAAGACACTAGTTTAAACATATTTTATTGCATTTAATACATGTTTACAAATATAGCATACAAATAAAGTATATATATTAAAATGCAAATGGGTTGGACAACAAGTTCTCACAACATTAGATTAAGCCCTTCCCAGTATTAAGACACTTATGGTTCAACAAGGGTGATGCTTCTCAAAGGCAGTCTTTAAAGGGAGGGTGTTTTTTATAAAGGTTACATCAAAGAGTGTTTTACAAATGTATCAGTATGAAGAAAGTGTTTTTGTAAAGGTTGCCACAAAGGAAGAGTGTTTTTGCAAAGGTAACCTCTAAGGAAGGATATTTTTGCAAAGGTTACTGCAATGGATGGGTTTTTTCGCAAAGGTTTCCACAATGGAAAGGTGTTTTTGCAAAGGTTACCACAAAGTATGGGTGTTTTTGCAAAGGTTACTGCAATGGAAGCGTTTTTTGCAAAGGTTACCACAATGGAAAGGTGTTTTAGCAAAGGTTACCACAAAGAATTCAGGGTGTTTTTGCAAAGGTTACTGCAATGGAACAATATTTTACAAAGTTTACAGCAAAAGATGGGAGTTTTTGCAAAGGTACAGACAGTAAAAGGAGAAGGGTTTTTAGTAAAGATAACAGAGAACAAAAGGTCTCATTTTCACTAGGGTCACATCAAAGGGTAAGAGGATGTTATTCTGAAAAGCTCGGAGCAAGGG